ATATTTATAAATTGTACACTTATATTATCATACTTAATTCACTCATTGCGTTAAATTTACATATTTGCAATTTTGAATTGTATCGTTAATACAACATATAACCTTTTTTCGAAAATTGTTTAGTAATTTTGTTATAGGTAACAGCTAAAATGATCATATATTAATTAAAAAATGCTCAGCCATGTTTAATTAATTTCAATATGAATAAATTCTTAAGATATACTTAGTCAATAGTCGTATTGTAAAGATAAATAAAAGAAAAGAAAATCTGTTGTACTTTACAGGATTCGAAATCGAAACCCCTGGGTTCAAAGCCGTATAATATGACCACTGAACAACAAAAATAACGCACATACATGTCTAGCTCCCATACTACTAGATTTCTGGCTCCCCCGGTCGGTTATTGGAAGCTTCCATACATTATCATTGTATGGGCTATCTATGTATATTTAATCATTGTATACACAATGAAATAAAGAAAAATAATTTCAATAATATTTCAAATGTACAAACTGATTTTAAAAATAATAACCAATGTCCAATACATTTTTTAATAATAATAAATAATAATAATAATCTAAGTATTTATATTTTTTACATTTTCTCAATGTCTAATAAAAACACATTTTAAATAATATCTATTAAAATAAATTATGTAGGTACTATGTATTTCTTCCTTTATTTTTTCATATTCAGTTGTGATTTTATTTACCCCTGTGGAAGGGGATCAGAATATTTCCACGGTTCCTCAGCTAATTGTAAATAACGACTAAATGAAGTTGCGTCAGGTTGACAACCGGTGTAAACATTTTGTTAGAATATAAGGAGTCCGAAACAAAATTTAGGCAGTATGTCCTCTCACAGATGTTCGCGGGAGCGGCAAGTGAGAGGAAATATCATAGTTACAAGTGCAGGCGGTCTAGATCTGAGTGGTTGGACCCGTGGCCCTCAGAGCATTTTTTTCCCTCCATAGACAACTAATAATAAAAAAAAAGTCACAATATTATAACGAAATCGTTTTATGATTGTATACTTTTTATGTTTTTTACTATAAAACGTAGGTATGCGTGCAATGAATAACGTCCAAAACCATGATCGAATTCAGCTCACTACTTACGTATAGTAGGTATCGTGTTTTTATAGCAACCACAACGAATCCGATTTCTTATAGTAGATCATGGAAGTTATTATTAGGCGGCGATTGTTAACTGTAGACTTAACTGGATAATAATCTCATTTTATTATTATTTTTTTTTTTTTTTTTTGTGGCCCTAAGTGTTTTTATGAAAATGTAAATTGGCCCGCCAACTACAAAAGGTTGAACCACCCTGAACTAGATGATGATGTACGCCAGTGCGGTAGCTGGTTCACCAGTCTACCCAACAAGGCTAATGTCTATGGTGTAGGGAAATCACCATTGCGCCCCGGGTTAAATCTACGTCTAAGTATGGGTAAGAGAGATAGGTATAAAGTGAGGATAGATACGTGGAATGTTGGGACATAAACAGGTAGAAGTAGGCATAGCAGAAGTATTGAAGAGGAATAAAATTAATGTTTGTGCCCTAGCTGCCGTCCCCTTTCTAGTGGAAATAATGTTCCTTTGGTTAAAGTTCATTCCGCAATTCGCCATTTACAATTTCACGAGTAATAGGATTTTCTAAATCAACCGAACCCGGGCACAAATAATAATTTGATATAGAAATCAAAAAAATATGCAATTCACATATCGCACATCTATATCAAAACAGTAATCCAAAAAGTTGGTTTTTATAGTTAAATGTATATTCGGATTCTACAAACGAAATTACATAAATCAACAAAACAGGTTTATTTTTATCTTTAATATTCTCCGTCAGATGGCAATGTAAGTATATTTTATTGAATGAATGATACCAAGGTACCACCAACAAAATCAACATTAAAAAAAAAGCGTTTTTTTGAGTTGCCACTATTTTGATATAGGTGTGCGATATTGCTAGAGTAACACCTTTTACTTAATGAGGTGACTCTGAATTTACTAGACATAATGTCAAACACATTTCTTTAATACGACGAGCCTGGCTTAATCTATAATTAAAAATTCGGTTCGACGCAGGCTGATTTCGGAATCCATAGGGCTTTAAAATGTATGACGTCATAGCAAAGGCATTATCTGCCACTATTATGTACGGAACTGACAAACATCCTTGGGGTAGTGCTTCTGGTTCAGGTAGAGGTAACTTTTTACTTTCCAAAGCATCGTATAAGGAACAGTTATTAAACACCCCTCCGTCAGAAAGTCTACCATTGCAACCAACATCAACATAAATTAATTTATAATTAGCATCTGCAATTCACTTCAAAATAATTCTGTGTGTGTTCTTATAGTTATAGTAAAGGCTTCGACTATTTTGTGCAGCCACTATTGTAATATGCTTCCGTCAATAGTGCTAAAGCAATGTGGTCATTGCCAATTTAATGCAAATTTATCTGCACATTTCTTAAATTCTTTTGTACTCGAAGGACACGAAAATAAAAATACATATATATTCTCAATAAGTTTTTCTTCAAATATCTGTAAAAAAAACTCAACCAGACTAAAATGAAAAATTTTTATGAGCGTTTAAAATTTAAACTTATACGAATTAATCATCAATCAAGCACAATTTTTTTTTTATAAAGTTTAAATATTGACAAAATTCGTCAATTTTTTGTCAAATATTTGCAAATTAGTTTATAGTGCAAAATGTATACATTTTTTTGGATTCATAGCTAAGAATTTAAAATTTGATACAAGGTTTTCCATAAGTTTTGCTTACAATAATTATAAAAAAAATCGAGCATAGTCAATTACAAAAATAAAAAATTCAATGGTAAAATAACGATTTACATCAAATGGTTTTACATAAAAAATGATTTATTATTGAATTCAAATACCTACTATACAGCAGACCAAATTCCCAGTTTTTTTTATTAATATATAATATTGGCTCAGGTCATTTAATTATTTATTGTTACCACAATACATTCTTTATTTTTTGGTTTCTTAATTTTTCAGAGAACCCAAGAAAACTCAGAAAGTTTGCAGAATGAGCCAACTTTAAATGAACCAACACCAATTCAACAGGGTAAAAAAAAAATTTCTAACTAAAGACAGTCCCAAACTCACGATGATAATGATATTCTAAAGGAAGCAACTGAAATTATGAAAAAGCCAAAAACCAATTTCGAACGCTTCGGTATTAAAATCTTTAAAAGCAGATTATTACAAAAGGCTACTGAAAATTGAGATTCGTAAATTAATAGCAAATATTACTGAAATGGACGAAATAAGCCACTGGTATATCTATTCAAGTACAAATACTTCATCATGCTCCACTCCATCAACTACTTTCGCTGAGAATCACATTTCTCCGACACCAAGCAAAGAGCCAGACAATTCAAGATTATTATAATTCATTCGATAGTTTGTTTTAAGTAATTATAATTATTTAATTTGTACTTTTATAGTTTCGTAAAACAGTATTGCAAACTACTATAAGCATCTTCCAAAAGAGAAAATCATATTTGAAACATAATAATATAACATGCGTACCTGAAGCTAAAAAACATAAGTGTGTATGCAGCACAAATGTATCTTTATGTATGATTTTTTAAACATAACAGGTAATTTTTCTATATAAAAATTGAATAACATTATAAATATTGGTGTTATAATATATATATTATTTATATAAGTTTCATGTTTTGATATTCACAGTTTTAATTTACTCATTGCAAATAGTGTCCTGTTTTTTTTTTTTTTTTTTTACATATGGTCATCCTACTTTAGTCTCATAAGTTACATATAAATATTTTTTTTTGACATTTGATAGTAATAAAAAAATGTCTTTCAAAATTTTCAGTGTTATTATGAATTTAAACACATTTTTAACACCAATATGAAATGCAAAAATAATGCTTGGTTTTAGAAACTTTATGATGAGTAAATATCTAGATTTTCATCATTACATCATCTGACAATATTAATTTGCACTGTAAACTATGTACAGCATAATTCGTATTTATCAGATGATTAGGTGGTGTTGGCAATTGAATAATCAGTATTTTAATTCAAACATAAAATAAATATGTAAAACAACAGTTAATTTTAAAAAAATTTAGATCAAGTTGGAAAATTAAATATTATACTATATCCTTTCAAAAGTATTTGAGAAGTATATTATTTTTATCTCCAATGAAATATTAATTTTGTTTTTGGTTGCTAACAAAAAATAAACCATGTATTTTTATTTAAAATGTATAGGTTTATTAATAATTACATTATAAATATAAACAAATATCAGTAGTATATTTAGAGATTAAAATTGAAGATTGCTGAAACAAGAAAATAATATTTTTAAATATTTATTCTTTGAAACAGTAATCAGTAACTAAAAAGAGTAGAACTTTTATAGTTGGCTTTGATTTTTTAATACATAATACACATAAGGCAGTGACTTCCTAGTTGTAAATAATTGACAAAATTATTTTAATCACTAGTTTAACAAATTTGACAAACACAAATCATAATATGGTATTGCTATCATTAGATTAGGTCTTAAGAATTGGCAATATTAATACTGTAAATTTATTAGTGTTTAATTCAAATAAGTATACAATTTTTTTTTTAAAATTATAGTTCTCTAAAACTATAGTTAAATTATTCATTAATTTGTTCGATTAATAATGTATGATTAGGCACTAAAATATACTTTGTTCGTTGTTACATAAAGGTAAATTCAAATAAAAAAAAAATCACAAAAAATATTTAAAAATAACAATGATTGGATACACGAGTTAACTAATAAATTTGTTAATAATTTTAAATAAATTCTTAAAATATAAGTAATATAAAATACCTGATACAAATTCATCAGTTTTATTAATATTGTTCAAAATATCACATAATTATTTTTCGATTTATGTAATTTAAAAAAAGATAAAATTATTAATAAAGATAAATATTGTAAATACTTTATTTTATGATTGATTTAGGTAATATTTATTTTTGATAAACAGAAACTGCAAATCAAAGATAAATATTAAATGTCGCAATAGAATTATTTCCTCTTTGAAGATTCAAGTAGTTTGATTCTAGCAGCTTTAACTGAACGTGGTGATTCTAAGTACCGTCTTTTTGTGCTGGAACAATTTATAAATCGTAATGTGAATAAATTATATATTAAGAAATAAGTTTTTCATATAAATGGGAAATATAGTTTACCTAGAACCAAAAATTCGATTATTTTTAGTAATTGGAGTGCGAGTTTGTAATGGACGGGAAGGTGTACGTTTCACTGGTGTATTTTGTGCTCGCAAGGGAACCAAATTGTTTAAAAAGTTTGACCAATAATCAGGGGATAGTTTCAGCATTTCTTCAACAACCTAAATAAAATGGTTATTTATAAGAAAAAAAATTATTATTAATATTTTGTTCATACATACTTTATTACTCAATTCACAATCAAAGTATAGATTTTCAGATTCTTCACTAGAATAACCAACAATAGTTGGACCAAATACTCTGGCTAAATTGCTAATGGGCATTTTACAATCTGGTGTTGCTGCAACTCTAAACAAATTTTTACAATAAAAAATGAACAAAATGAAAAAAAGATTTTAATTTTAAATTTTAACTAAAAGTATTTTATACTTTTGCAAATGTAATATTATGTAGGCTAAGGTGTTACGATTGGGTTGTGGTAATAGTGATATGGCTTGATATAATCTATGCTCAGTTTCATCTTTTGAATTTCTGACAGCATCCGTAAATGTTTTCCAATCATAATGGGGAATTAATGGATCATCAAGAGTTCTAAGGAAATCTTTTAAGCATCCACAAATAACATGAATATCAGTATCAGATAAATTAGGAACTCCTTTACGGAATTTTTCCTTCAGTGCTTTGACATCCTTTTCTGAGCCAGGTATCCGATACAATCCAACTGTATCAAATCCTCTCTGTTCTATTTCATTTACACAGTGAATTACTAATGCAGGTATCATTGGCCGGCCATTAACCATAGGTGAATAATCAGCAATTCGTCCCTAATAAGAGTGAAAAGCAAAATTATTATATATATAGAAAAAAAAGATATCACTTTTTATTCATAATTATTTACATTCAATTGATTTATTAGAACCAAAATGTATTACTTTTTAATATATGTTTTTTTTATGAATTACAATTTTTAACTAAAACAAACCAACTAATTAAATACTAATTTACTTAATATATAAGATAAATGTAGTAAAACTTACGCCATTTTTGTTTGGTGTACTTTTAACGGGAATACATGGCAAAGGAACTTTATCTTTGTGTTCCAAATGTGCTGTGGCTTTGCAGTCCAAGCATTTAACTACAACTCGATTGAATTTAACCCTAAAAATTAGTTACTTCTTAGTAATAAATATTGAAAACAATAACCTTAGAAAATAAAGGATCAAAAGAAAAATATAGCTTTCTATTTTTATATTTCACATTTACCAAGAAGTTTACTTTTAAAAAGATATATATACTTTTTATAATTTTTTTATTATAGATTTTCAAAAGGATTTCAGTATTTTTAAACAAAATAAAATTTAAAAAAATGACAATGGTATGATCTTAGAGCCAAATATAAAAACCTTTAACTCTTAGCTGCATGGGTGGATACAGATTGGGAGTGAAAAGAGCAAGTGCTAGGGGTAAGTTCTATCCCCGTTGGAAAAAAATATATAGAACTAAATAATATATAATAAAACAAATTATGACAGTTTCAGTACAATATTGTCACATTATATTTGGGGGTTCTAAGCCCTTCCCCTATGACATTCCTACATACGCCTATGATTAAATATATATGATTTTTCCTTTAAATGTCCCAACCATAAATAAATACTGGATTAACCTTTGCTTAGTTGCAAGTTGCTAACTAAACCACATAAAAATCTAAAAAAGTAAATTTTGTTAAGCATGTAATTTTCGAATAAAATGCAATATATTATATTGCAATTGAATTGACTATTAGTTTCTTACAACTATTTTTTTCTAAAATATGTTTATTAAAACTTGTTCTAAAAAATAACTACTAATGGTTCATTGAAATTCCAAATATAAACTGCATTAACGAAAACGTATAAATCATATATGAATTACTTTTTGCCACAAGGACCACATATTTCTGGAATGATGACGCTTTTTTGAGTAAAATTATGTGCTCTATTGTTCAATTTATTTAATGCAGAGCTTGAGTGAATTGTGTTGGGCACGTTTTGATTATTTTCATTACCATAAGGATCAGAGTCAAATGAATCTAAAGAATCTATAAAATGAATAAATTTAAAATACAAATAAAAATTTAACCTATATTATTGTATAACAATGTTTTAATAAGAAAAATTAGTTAATGATATTGTACCAGATATAGGTGGTGCACTTGGTGTTGGGAAAAGGCATAAAGGTTTGGTTTCAATAACGGATTTTGCACTTATGTTTTTAAATGGCTGCATTGTGACAGTAGTTGTGGCGACTATTTGAGTTGATGAAGTAGTTGTAGCAATCTGTGAAATGTTCAACTTAATATTATTATATAAGATTAGAAAAGAAGAAAATTAATATACATATTTTATTTTTTTTACAGATAAAATATATTACTTCAATTTCTTTTTTTATTCCATTAGTATTTGAAATTCCTGATGCCCTTTTTCTTTTAACTGTTCCAACTACTTCAGGATCCCAGCGGTCCACTGCATCTTCAAAATTCTTATCAGAGTCTAAACTATCTTCTACCCTCGAATAACTTATGTCAGATAATACTGATTCTAGAATATAGTAAATTGATATATTAGTTATTAAGTAAATATAAAAGCTAGTAGGTAAATAATTTATTTAATTATCTTCTTACCAGTAGTGTCTTGACGTGGAATTTGATCAAATCTTTCTGTTTCATATTGATATTCTGGAGAACCCGATCGATTAATGTTTGGATTGGCATTATTAAATAATCTATAAAAATTTTCAAGTTTCTGGGCCTAAGATAAAATTAAATATTATTGATTTTTTTGCTAGGAAATTTATTTTTATAAAATATATAATAGAGAATTATATTAGGGCTGTTAGTATGTGCATTTGGGATGTAGAAAATCAAGAAAAGTGGAGGTTTGAAACAAGGGTGATCAACCCCAAATAGTTGGGAGAAAGACAAAGGAAAAGAATTTTTATAAAATACAATAATTAAAATAATTATTATAATAACAACAACATCTTACCAAACTGTCTCGTTCAACTTCAGCGTGTCTTTTTTCTTTATTTGCTTCATCTAATAATCGATTGGAACTTTTAAGATTGTGCATAAGTCGTTCACACTCAATACGCATTTCCTCAAGTTTTTTTTTCATCAATTCTTTGTCGTTTCCATGGTCTTTAAATTGTACACTGAGTACATCTAAGGCTACGATTTTGGCTTTATAGTCTATATAAAATGTAAGTAAAAGTAAATAAATTCTTTATATGTGTACAGAATAAAAAGAAAATTTAGTTACCTCTTTCAACAGTTGTATCTAGTAAAGCCAACACATGTCTGAAGTGTTCGTCATACTTCATAGACAATAATGGTTCCATGGTTTTTGAAATAGTCAATTCCGTGTCTAAAATCATAAATTATATTTAAGGAATTTAATTGAAGGAAGAATTTAATTTACTTTGGTTAGAGGAAATATTTCCAAAGTACGCATTTTTGTAATTAAGGTTTAAGAATCTAAAACGAGAATTATAAGCTGGGAATATTGTTTTGTTGAATTATCGCCAGATAAAAATGATATCAAACATAGATAATAACAATAAATAAATAATAGTTCTTAGAAGATATCATATATATTCGTATGAATCATTAAATTAAATATTTGAATTCGATTATAATAAAAATAGATTTTTAATTTTATTTGGGAAATAATTAAAACATTATTTATAATTTTTGATAGTTAAAATAATTGTCTATCATCAACTTTTAGTATGAAATTTATTAGTTACAAATAATAACTTCAAAAAATTTTGCATTACATATATTTTAATTGAAATAAAAACGATGACTTCGATCGTTTTATAGAATTGACTTAGAATATACTTGACGACGAATTTTTAATTCGAAACCGGTCGTCCTATATAATAGTATTCCAGGCTGAGCATTTATTTATTTATTTTGTCTTCAATCAAAAACACGCAATTACAACAATTCGTTTTGCTTGTTCCAAATTATAGCTGCTCGAATAACCATATACCTATGTCATACACTATATAAATTAATTATAAGATTGTTCTAGATAAGTTAGATTGACCTCAACTCCTGGAACTAACAGTCTTAAACAAGCAAAAAGTAAATACTTAAGGATGGGTTTTTTTCTTTTTAAATTAATATATCAATATATAAGGTTACTGATCCAAAGTGTATTCAAAATAAGGAGACAAGTTTATACTAGAAAATAAATGTCAAGGATTGTATAAATAAATCGAACATTGTATTTATAAGTTAAATAAGATCAACAATTGTCCTGTTAGGTACCACTGACTAGTTAATTTATATAGTTATATTTATAATAACAATACATAATTTCACATGCTACTTTTTAGAAAAGTTAATGGTTTTAAAATATAACTTTTAAGTAATAAGTTATATTATAACATAATTTTATGAATATACAAAAGTTAAAAGAAATCTTGATAATGATAGCTAAAAAATATTTTATCCGTATAATATGAATACTTCAAAATAAATAGAAATAATTAATTTTAAAAGTCATTGGCATTATTTTTCTTAGGACCTTGTTTTGGCCTAGCTTACAAAGGTCAAATAATTTCAGTCATTTATATATATTTATCATATTGAATATAAAAATTAAGGTACTTAAAAAAATAAAACTTCATGGTTTTTAATGTTTTTATACATTTTTTCAATAAAAATCATCGATATTTACAACTTTTAAAATAACAAAAATGTATTGACTATAACGTTTGAATCAGAACAAATCAACAAAAATGTATAACGCGCAAAAGAATAATTCAAATAACACGCTACATTTTGCCAAGTTACCTTACAATGGGCCATCAGTTTAATGTTCAGTACAAGGCACAGAGTAGTACAGGAATGATGATCGATAATGTGTTCAAAGAAAACAACCATCAGGATTCGACGATTCAAAGTTTCAGTCTAAAAATGTACCATTAATTTTTTTACAAAAAATTTGTTTCTTTAATTTTATTAAAAATTATAATTACGTTTATTTAATGAGTGGTGTGGTAGAACTAATAATTTTCTCAAACTGTATGAAATTCCATAAAATTTATATGTGTAAATCATAATTAAGTGCAAGGGAATATAATAATGTAGGACAAGAATACGATTAAAAATTGGAAGTATTTTAATAATAATGTTTGATAAATATTTTTGTAAATATCAAGTAAGTACTGAAGTTTTGTTTAGTACAACATTATTTTATTTTAATTATTTGCAAACGTAATGCATAAAAATAAAAAAAATAATAATCAAAATAAAACTAATAAAAATGAATTAAGAATTTTTTAAAAATATATTTTTTTATAAATGGCAATAATGTTTTTGTTATACATTTTAAATAGTTTTTTCTCGAGAGTATAAAACGCAATTGCGCATGCGTGATTTTATTTTCAGTCCGGAGGCTCTAGATTTGAATCGATTCGTTTTTTATTGTTCAGCAACATCAGGTAGATAGATCCATAGATCGTAATTCAGTAACAGGAGTCCAACACAACTAACATTTAACCGAGTATTTAATAGACTAAAATATCCTGTCAAAAATGTGAGTAACAATAATTTTAATAATTAAATTAATAATAAATAAGATTAATATATTTTATAAATATTATATATATTTAAACATTTTATAGAACTGTTTTAATATTTAAATTTGTGTAATATCTCATTTATAATTTATATTATAAGTAATAAGTATGAATTTAGAATACATTTGAATATTTTATTTTAATGAAGATAAAAATATATTTGTAATTATATTTTATGGAAATTATTAAAATCTATTTTATAATGCAGTTATATTTAAACGTTAAAATGTTTAACTTTTAATTTTAATTCGATTATATTATGTGAATGCAAATTACAATATATGTTTTATAACAGTAAGTGATAATGTGTCAATAACACTAAAATTAATAAGAATACATCCCGAAATTACCAATGGAAATGTTAATTCGATACAATTGTTTCATAATTACCTATCAAAACTAAACGGAAAATAATGAAACATATTAAAAATGCATATAAAATAGTGTCCCTCACTTATTCAAGAATACTTTTTTTTTAGAAGTAAAATAAAAATATTTTTTATGAGTGTTAAATAAATAATAAAATAAGTAAACGAATATTTACCGAGAATTCGTGAATTGTTATGTATACGTATTATTATATTTTTAAAAAACAAAGAATTAAATATATAATTGAATATTGCTAATACATTAAAATTAAAGTGTTATTGTGGTTCGAAACATAAACGCAGTTTAAACGAATAAAACTAGAACAAATTATTTTATTACGAGAAATATTAAAAAGTCTCAATCGGGACAAGATATTATAAAATTGGAATAATACCTAATTGTTGGAATATTTTTATTTTGGACATGTATTTGACTGCAAATACAAAAAATAAAATAAAATAAAATAGCAAATACACTCGAAAACAATGATAAATATATATACATATATATTTAATAGAAAAAAAAAATACATGACTATATCATGTCAGAAGTAAAACCGTACACCGTAACTAATAGGTTAATAGCGACAGTAGAATGACCCTTCTGCATCTCTGCATAACACAAAATCACTGCTGTTTTCGAGGCCTTGAACTTCATATATTTTAACAAAATTAAGCAAGTTTAAAATAATTCTAAACATTTTGTAAATATTAATACTGTTTATTATTAAGTAAACAATGTAAAACGGTAAATTTAAAAATGTAATATATACATCGAAAATGGGTTGTCAGTTTGAATACAACTCTCTTAAGATATATATATATATATATATATAATTATAATTTATTTACCGTTTTTCTTCGAAGAAATTATGGTAGCAATGAAATTGGTTGCCTACATTTATCATAAGAAATATTATTATCTACGTACTTTAGTTTTAGTGTAAAGTGATGAATTACTATTGAACTACAATGTAAATAAATTATTTAATTTACACAAACAAAATAAAACTTATTAATATATAATTTTTGAAATCTATACCGAATGCTTTCATATATGGGGATTAAAGAAGAAGTAATAGAGAGCTGTTAGAAAAGAGCTGAATAATAAATAACTGTTAAACAATTTTAAGCATTATATGCCACCTGAATAAGGAATGTAAAAAAAAAATGTTGATAAATATATAAATAATATCAATAGCAGTAGAATCAGATCATTTTTATTTTGAGAATTTACATGGCATGTAAATCACCAACTTAATAAATATATTATCGAAGATGCTTATTATGCAATATTAGAGATAATAATTTTGTACTCGAATGCCTTGTGCCACCACAATTTAACCATTTTATAGAGTATATTATTATATTACACTAGGAAAATAAGTAGAACATATATTTATTTTATGTTAATACATAATATATTTACACCAAATATATGAATATAATGACACACCTAATTAAAATATTTAATGTTTTATAATTAATTATTATAAAATTATAATAAAATGAAAATAAAATTAGATTAATAACTTTTTTATTTATTTTAAAATTAACCATGTATAATAAAAATTAAATACTTAAAACTAATATTTAGATACATGAGTATAGAATCTGAAGATATATAAATATTTCTGATTTGTATGCACAATTTTATTATTCTTAATATGTATTGAATTCTCTATATGCACATAAAACTTCTATTATTTGATCATAAAAATAAGTAATTATTAGTAGTTTATTTAAAAATAAATATTTACATACAGAGTTCGAATTGAAAGAATTAAAGAGACATTAACAAGCTACATAAATGATTCTTAAAATATTAAGCAAGTTCTACGTGGTCACCAAGGTCGTAACTAGAAATTTTTTTCGGGAGGGGTCCAAGACATGTATATTGAAATTTTATTGAATCTAGATTTTAACTTTTAATATTTGGTTAAAAATAAGACAGAAAAAGATTTATTCTTCTTTTATCAAAATTAATATCATATTTTCATACGATATCATGATATAAAATTAAAGGTAGTCAATGATTAATTGGAGCTTAAGTCTTATTTTTGACTGAAATTATTTATTTTGGTATTAAAAATAAATAAGAGTTTTAAAGATTCCTAAAATATTGAAGAAATTTCCGGGGGGGGGGGGGGTCGGTCCAGATACCCTGGACCCCCCCAGATACGGCCTTGATTGTCACCATAACCTTTATTAACCTTTATCATTATTTATTTTCGTTTCATATTTTATTAAATTCGAAATTAGCTAATATATAATATATAATAATAAAAAGATTAATCAAATCAATAATGATAGTAAATCGATTTTTTTTTTTTTTTAAATGGAAACAATTAATGAAATATAATTAGGTATAAAAATAACAAATGTTTATATACTTATAGAAGGTATTCAATCAATTTATATCTAAGTCTTAATAAGACGCGGGTACAAGAGAGGCTATGAGAGCTGAAGCTCCCCTTGGAAATTAGGTAGAACCATATCGAACTTAGGTACTTAAAATAATTAAGAAATTAGACATAAGACTTTGTAAAAATCGACATGCGCAACAAATTATGACAGAAATTCACATTACTAGCCCCCTTTTTTATTTTCTAGATCTGCGTTTGGTCTCCATCACAGTTCAATCATTGCTTACACAATGAATTACATATTTTAAATTATAATATTAAAATTCCTATACAATTTTGGAATATTAGTTTTTTGGATAGAATTGATATTGGTAACATTGTTATGATTGTAGTTGGTATACCCTAAATTGTTATTATTCATTTTATATTAAGATAACGTGAAGTTGATTTAAAATGAATATTGTACCTATCTAAGGGTATTGAATGCATTTAGTTATCATACTTACTCTAATTATGTGTTAAAACTTACAAATATTGTGTTGGAAATTAGTATTTATATATTGGTCAATATTCTTGATTGTTAAAATTAACCTCAAGATGCTTTCAATAATTTCACGATTTAATTTATTTGAAAAGACGATTAAAAACAAACGTAGTTTATGGCAATGGGTTGATGACACATTTAACCGGCAAGTTTTCATATATAGAATAAAACAATACAAAGAAAATAATTTAAATCAGTTTTATTGTGATAAATATTATTTTGTTAAATGAAGTTTTGATGAAGAACGTACAAAGGAAATTGGTTCTAATTTGGCATGTGCTGAATGGCTTATGAAAAATGGTGCACAGGTGCGTTTTAAAGGTTGTAAAGAATTTGTTAGCCATTATGATTGTTTAACAACTGGACAAGATAGATCCATTAAACAGTTAAAAATTGAGCAAGTTTATGCTGGAAAAGAAGCTACTATATCACATATAGGATTTAATTACTTTAGTATGTATAAATTAATAAAATATTTTTAGGTAATTTTCTCTTATTTTCAATAATTTGCAGCATCTAGATCAATTAATTTTTGTGAGTAACAGTTATACAATGCATTTATTTCAAATAAAAGTTTAAGTAAAAGAAATATATTAATATTTTTAATTTTATATTTCAATTGGCTACTTTAATTGAATGAAAGTACAATTTAACCATAGTTCTGTATATTACAATTTTTTTATGGATCATAAAAATTTTATTCAAATATTTTTATTTAACTAATTCATTAATTATTATATAATAATTTTGCATTTAAATATGTATATTTTACACATACTTATTGTAAAATAATAATTACAGATTGTATATAATAAAAAATGAATGTTAAAAAAAATGTATATAGTTTTTTACCAAAATATTCATGATACATATAAATATTTATTATTTACTTTGTTTTAACTAAGTTAAACATTAACTATGTTTTTAGTTCAAAAAATTGAAATTATTTTTTAAATTTTTATTTAATAAATTTTTGTCAAAAAACAGTTTAGTTAATTAAATAGCTATTTGAATATATTTTTATTAAATTAGTATTATGAAAATATTGTTATTAACAAGTAGTGAGAAAACAACCAGACAGAATTTAATTTAATTTTACAACTTTTATATATATTATATACATTTTACAGAAGACTGTGAGAATATTTCTGATATAGCATTTGTTGGATGTCATACGATTAATAATAAGGCATTAAATAAACTTCAGATCTTAAAAAATTGTTTAACATCTTTAAAGATTAGTAGCTGTGTTAATATTTCTGATGAAGGAATATTAGACATAGAATATCTTCAGTAAGAATTAAACAAAAAAAAGGTTAATGAATTTATAATTTGTTAATATATTTTTACTTTTAGGTTATTGAATCATTTAGAATTGAAAAATATACAATTTAAAAATCAAATAAAAGTTATTGATCATCTTAAATCCAAGTTGCCACAATGCAATATAATATTTAGTGAGTAAAATAATAAAGATGAAAGAAGAAACTTCCAGTTATTTTGCTATTTTGATTGTATTTATTATTATTTATAATAAAAACTTTTTTTTGTGTTCATTTAAGTACTTAATAATAATAATTTAATTTTTAGTTGATGTACTCAAATAACATGAATAATAATTTATTTGTATAGTTTTTGAATAAAAAAAATTTGATTGATACTGTGTACACAATATATTTACCTTTTATACCATTTATATTTATAGATATTTCAGATATAGGCTAATATAATAAATATTTAAATATGCATTTTTAATGAAAATTTAATATTAGAATAAAAAGAAAAAACTTAATTTTTTCCTGATGTTTCCATTGAAAACTATGTATTGCAATAGTTATTAATATAAGTAATGAAAAAATATCTAAATTATTTATTCTTAACTAGTTAAAGTTAAATAGTAGTTTGATTAAATAAATATAAAATAGTATACTAAAAACTATTATGAAAATCTAATAACAGAAATTTGAAAGCAAGCTGATATGTTTTACAAAATTAAAACAATTGTTTTTTATCGGTTTTCCGAACATAAATCTATAGAATGTAGTAAAACTATGATTTAATCAATAAGTTATTGAAAATATTTAAACAATATAAATTATTATGTCTATAATCGTAAATTTTTAATATAACTTATATATTTGTCTTGTTTTTTATACAAGCACTATATTTATTATGACTATGCAGGAATGCTAGTTCTTAAATATATTACATTAATAGCTTTTTATTTATTAACAGAAAAATCATGAAACGTAAACTAATAAGTTCAAGATGGAAATGTATGGTTATTATTTCAATTATATGTTCAACATTGAACACTGTAATATTTGGAGGTATGAGTAGTTTATTTTAAATTTAAATTATTATTATTATTAAAAAATTAATTGGATTTTTACAAAATAATTAATTATAATTTCAAGTGTTATATTATAATTTCAGTTCCATTAAGTATGCCATATTCGAATCATGAAAATATTAAAAATGAATATTTTATAACAGAAAAATCACAAGATAAAAACATTCTTGTTGATCCTAACTGTATAGTTAATGGTTCAAAATATGTAAAAGGTGAAAATGTACCTGGAGCAGGTCCATGTGAAGAATGTGTTTGTCAACCACCTAATGTTATTTGTTCAATGATTAAATGTCCAATTAATAGTGGTTGTATAACGATTCAGTTACCAAATAAATGCTGTCCAAATTACAAATGTGGTAATAACTTGTATTTAATTATCATTTATAAGATGAAAGTAAAATTATTAAATAACTAGCTAAAATTGGTTTTTTTTTCTGTAGATTGCGAACATAAAGGTGTACAGTATAATAACGGAGAGAAAATTAATAAATCTGATGAATCTGCTTGTAGAGTTTGTTTTTGTAATGGTGGAGAAATTGTATGTACTTCTATTGTATGTTACACTCGAAATGATTGTCAAGGATATTATTTACCAGGGGATTGTTGTCCAAAATATGATAATTGTTCATTAACCTCAATAGGTATTTATAAATTAAACAATAACTATAATAAAATATTCTTCCTATTCATATGAAATATTATTTTACTAGATACAGAACTTAAATCAAAGGTACCCATATATTTAGAAAAATCAAATAGAAATAATAATTATTGGTCACATAGCACTGAACAAAATTATAATGAAGACAGTATTTGGAAAAGAGATACAGCAGAAAGTCAGAAGTATGAATTGCCTACAGTTCCAAACACTGTAACAATGCTATCAACAGTGGTCAACCCTAAAAAAGTATCTGGACAAATAAGCACATCATTACCGCCAAATAATACATTTGAAGAATTAGATGCTTCAACATCAAGTTCCATAATAGAAAATTATACTATATTTAATGAGCCCAATAAAGAAATTACTACCCTAGAAAACTTAATTAAAGCAAATGATTTCAATGTCACTGAAAATTCAAAAATTTCTTTTTTAGGTTACGAAATTGATAATTTAACAGCAAATGAAGAAATTACAGAATCATACTTGAAAACAAATGAAACTTTAGAAACAATGTTTGAAGATTTATTTGATTATACAACAGAAATTGATAATTCTGTAGTTATAACATATATAAATGGTACAGAAACTATTATAGATGTAACAGAAGCACCTACTACTGAAGGAAATATTAATGCATCAACTGAAATGACTAGTACACAGGTTGAGATTTTTGATCCTAAGGATTTAAGATTAGATTTAGAACAAGGGATGATTGAATTCTCTACTAATATACCTGAGTTAGATGTGACCATAGAAGCAGATTATGAAGATTCAAGAGAAGCAACTACACCAAGAACACCGGATAAATCAACAGTTGGTACACCAGATAAATTGGTAGTGAATGGTTCACCAAAAATGATGAAAGGTCTAATTAGCACTGAAACAACATTTACTGACTTAGAAGATACAACAGATATGTTTGGACCAAATTTTGATTATCAATCTTATAAGACACAATCCCATCAAATCTCGTCAAACTCAGATACCATTGAATCTCAAATTACAGAATTAAATAATAAAATATTTATCCCAAATTCAAAAATTATAAACAAATATCAGAAAACCACTGAATCTCCTCATATTGAACTATTAAGCCAGCCATACTCAGATACAAAAAGTATTGAAAATACTACTTTAAATAAAGAACTAAAAGTAGAAAATATTGCTGTAACAATAAGCAATGTTACAGAAACAGTAAATACCACTAATTTTATTGAATTAGAAACAAACAGTACTGAATGTGGAAATAATAGCTGTACTGGTCATTCAAAACTAAATGATAAACTATTAGAAACCACTGCAACTACTCCTTTTATTATAGAGACCAAAGTATTATCTAATCAAGACTCTCCTAGATTAGTTATAAAAAAAATGCCTTATCCCAAAGAATATCCAGAAGAATTTGAAACAATTCAAAACGGACCATCGTTAACTATAACAAAAAGAACGTATACCAGCATACCAGATATAGTTTATACAACAACAACGATGATCACATTGCCGACTTTAGAATTAATTTATAAAGCTGATAAAGAAATTGAAAAATATTTAGCTAATATGCAGTCAACAAATATTAAACCAAGTAATACTTTAAGTCCACTCAGAAATATATCAACTTTAAACTCAACTTGAAAGCTTTTATTTTTGGTAAAAATTGAAATTTAAGTTAGTTTAAATATATTGTAATTGTAAATATATTATAATTTTTTTACATAGATTTAAATTTTTGGTATTCTTTATTAAAAGTACCTACATAAATTTTAGTTTATATAGATACAATAAATAATGATATAAAATGCATATAACCTATTTGTAGATTGAAGGAAACTTTAAAATGTAGAGCTGATAGTAAGTAATATTACACAATGTCATTAGGTACAACCAAAATACTTTTGTTTTAAATTTAATTCTTATAAGAAAAGGTAATTAACTTTAAGGTATAATATGATACTTAATATGATTTTTAATTTAATGATTTCCAATGAGTTTTTTTCAGTAGAAAGTTGATAATCTGATTATCCAGTGTTCAAACTCAGAATATTATTGAAAAATTGATAAAATAATAATTGTTGTTTCATCTATGATTTTGTGTAATATTTTTATTAATGCTTTCAACTAGATATATAAATAAACTCATTAATTAATTAAATTATAATTTATAAGACATATCTAATAATCTGTCTTAAATAAATTATTTTTAACTAAGTAATACATTTATAGATAAATAAATTCATTCAATTATTTTAAATTTCAACTACACATCCAAAAATATTACAATATATGAAAATAATTTATGTGTATAGCTGTAATGATGTTAAATATAATGATTCAACAGAATTACTTAAAATAGTAAAAAATAAATAAATATAATTTATAATAATGAATACTTATTGTAATTAATTAGGTACATATATATAATTGAGAAATATACATTTTAACAAGCAATTATTTATAATTGGGGATATAAGTTACCTAAATATTGAATAGTAAAAATGTACTACTTTATTTGTATTTAATGTTTCTATTAACAATGGTTTATTTATTAATAAACAAAAAAAAAATGTCAAATGAATTATGTATTGATTGAGTATAGTTACTTTGAAAACTAAATACTAATTAAAAAAATAATATATATATATTACCAAATACTTAGCCTAGAGTATTATCATATTTGTAAAGTATAACCGGTTTCAAATTAAAAATTAAAAATGCAAAATATTTGAAGTCAATAAAATCTTGGCTGAATAGGAAAAAATAAAGAAATAATCTGAGGAAAATTTGTCAGGTTAGGTAAGGGTTACTTCATAAACTGTATATACCCGATGATGAATTTTTAATTTGAAATTGGTCATATTTTACAAATATAATAATATTCCATACTAATCATTTATTTATTTGTACATCATTATACAAGTATTAATTAACCATTTGCTAATTATTATTTAAATTTTAAAAAAGTAAATTAAAAAATTACAATAACTTCTCTATAATTAGAATATTAAATTTTATAACCAACCATATCGACCCAAAATTTTAAATAATATAATTGTCTGTTATCACAGTATTACCACGATTATATAAACATAACTCTATAATGTAATATGGTTCTTTATAATTGTAAGTATTACCTCTCTGGCATAACCATGATTTAGTTATTTTTATTATATTATCTTCATGTCATTTTCGATTTTTTGATTGTATACATATACACATATAAATAAATACCTAATATATCTATTATAATTAAATATTATACTACCCTATATTTGAATTGTTGAGCTATAGTTTAGCAGAAATTTATACTAATAAAAAAATATATGATATATTCATAAGAATAATTTCAAATTATATTCATTTCATTATAAAGGTATTAAAAAATTTTATTAAATATTCATCCATTTTTTATTTTATAGATGTATGTTGATACTATTCAAATAGTAATTTAACAAATGGTAAGAAATGTTAAGGTTAGAAAACTCTTGGTATGGAATCTAATGGTTTCTTTTTTCTTTTTTGCATTTTTAGAATAATACATAATACTGTACAATCAATATGGTAAGGAATGTATGATTGCATTGCACTGATATACCTACATTAAATTTTAAATAACTATTTTAATTATTAATTAAGTATTTTCTCATTTTTTTTTTTTAACAAAAATTAAAATTTCTAGGTACAAATTTTATTGTAGGATTTTACGGACTAAAAAAAGATTAATAAATCATTAAATCATAAATTTGTAAATACACAAGTTATTTCATCGAAAAAATGTCAAAATATCTATGAGCAAAGCCGTATCTGGGGGAGGGGGGGATCTAGGGTGCCTGGACCCTCTCTTAACTTCTTCAATATTTTACAAATGCTTAAAATAATTATTTATTTTTAATACCAATATAATATTTTCAGTCAAAAATGACTTAAGGTCCAATTAATCATTGACTGCTTTAGTTTTATATCATAATATCATATGAAAATATGATATTAATTTTAATAAAAGAAGATTAAATCTTTTTCTGTCTTATTTTTAACCAAATATCAAAAGTTAAAATCTAAATTCAATGAAATTACAATATAAATGTTTTGGACCCCTCCCAAAAACAATTTATAGATACGGTCTTGTCTAGGATACCACACTGTTTAAAAATATACTATCTATTGAGCTTTTGAGAATGTCCACCAAAAAGTTTGTAGAAATTAAATATTCTGGGATTTGCACATATTATATTAATAAATAATAAATATATAATAAACTATTATTATTACTTAATTCCAATCAATAACTTTAAAGGATTGTGAATTATAATGATGTAATCAATATGGAAGATACTTATTATAGTTTGGTCAATGGTTAATACTGCATTAAATTAATTGTTTAAGTTCTTGTTGATTGTAAATATCCAATAATAAAAAATTAACATTGATATAATGGTTTTATAATTTATTAAACAAAGTAGGTAAGGTATTGATTATTTTTTTATATTTTTGTTAAAGGAAATCACCAGATGTGTCTAAGAATGACTTCGCTCAAACAAGTAACAATCTAGACTTTTAAGGAAAATCGCATTACAATATGGAAACACAAAATAATCTTACTAAATGTTTCAAAGTATAACAGACAATAAGAAACATATTTAATTTCATATTTTTTAAACAAGTTTAGCAGAATGAAAGTATACAGTTCTGATTAAATTTAAATGTTTTACTTACTAGACAAGGACTGTGGTGTATCCAACGGTTTGAAAGTAGTATTGTATAAGTTTGGATTTATTGATTCATAATCGAAGGAGGTTAAAAGTACTCTATTAAATGATAACTAATGAAAATAGTAAACAAAACAAATAAATAATTAAATAAATACGATTACGGTTTTAAAAACTAATATTAAGTACACGTTTAAATGTAGAAAAATGTATTAACTATGTACTGTATATTTATTATGTACAACTAAGACAATTTAAACACTTGCATTTTGTCGTGTGTGGAACACAATAGTACACATCAAATCATTTACGTACGTTGTAGCCAGTAGGTACGATCGTCGGGCCAAGATTACTGATTCGCAAGTTTCGAAAAATAACCGTCGTAAGCAATCAGTGTGACCAACATGTCTTTTGTATAATTTTATGTGTAGCATAATATAGTATAATATAGTGTCATTAATCACATTATACTGTGCTTATGATATTGACAGGGGCGGGTTTTATCACTAACCAAGGGAAGGGCTAATGGAGGTTTAAGAATTTAGTTAGTTGGTTTTTTAAATCTATATAAAATTTTAAACTACAAAATATGTTTTCGAGTCCCTCATAAGTAAGTCATTTTTTTTACAATAATGACAAAGTTTCAATAGTAATGTAACTATTTATTTGTAACTATTGGTGTTAATTTTAATCTGAAACCATTTTAAAATATAGGTAAATACATATAATTAACAACAAAAGTGAGCTATTTATTTATAAAAAAAATATATAAAATAGGTACCAAATTCATCAATGACCATTGACGATATTTTATTATAATTATTAATATATAATAATACTTTGCTTTGTAAAATAGATAGCTTAGTCCCAAGGGGAGGGGCTAATGCCCCCTTAGCCACCCTCTTAAACCCGCCCGTGGGTCTTGGGTCAGTATTCCCGAAATGTGATAACGATATGTATAACAATCCGTGGAATTACCTCATGTATTTATGCCACGGACTAATATAGACTCCTCTTGTAGATTGTGAATGGTAAGCAAATAAGGGCCATTAATTTGAGCGAATGATGAAGCGACCCCAAATTCTACAATATTTAGGCGAATTTGTACACATCGTTTGAGCGAAACTTATACAAACAGCTATTACATCTAAGTTTTAACACAACACAATAATAATAATAGGTAGTGGTTTTAATAAATCATTAGTTTTAGGCTCAAATAGGTATTTACTAAAATAATATACCTATAAAATACCTATGTAAATGAATAAATTAAAAATGTTGTTTGACGTTAATTCGTATTGTTGAGTGGAATGAAACGAAATGAAAACCTAAATACGCCACTGATATGTGTATTGTACAATTTGTTTTGAATTAAAAATTCATCATCTGGTATGCATAAAGTCAATAAAATCGCGACTGAATATGAAAATATAAAGGAAGGAATGCATTGAGAATAATTGGTTATTTTAATATAGAAGTAATTTATTTTAATAGGAGAGGTTATTTGAAATAAATTCTTATTAGACATACGAGTAGATATGTTAAAAAAAAAATACTTTGGTTGTTTTTATAATTCGTTTACTATATATATAAAAACGACTTTATTAAAAATTACATAAAGTAGACTGCTCACCATGTGACTTGCCAATTAGACACAATTTACCACTCATTAAAATGTTTATATAGCACTTTTTTAGGACAAAACATAATAAATCTTAATAACTACAATTATGGAATGCAAATAAATTATAAATAAATAAATAAATTATAATATTATATATATTTTATTATAATAAATAAATTATAAATATAAGATATTTCTTTTATAACCGTTTTGTACATTTAAAATATCATTAAAATTATTTCATTGTGTGTGTGTATGTGTAACTATTCTAAAACTGAATTAATGTAAATATTATTTTATGAATTTTATATTTCTAAGTCTGTATTGATATAAAAATGTATATTATGGATATTCTTTAAATGATGTTTGGCAAAGCCCCTTCTAAACTTTGCTCTACAAACTGTCTGCAACCTTTAAAACTTAGGCCAATTTACGCTACTGTTAAATTCTGATTATAAATAATGTAGTCATGCCGAGTAGAACTGTTATTCGTTATACAATTTGAATATGAACTCTGCAATCATTGCAAACCCAATTCACAATCTAATAAGTATGCCAGTGAGACTAGGTCTTGTAATTGAGCATTAATATTATAGTATGTAATTATTATTTAATATTGCAATGTTTATAAATGCACAGAACATATTATTACCAAACATTTAAAATTGGTTAGTAAAATTGAAATTCTTATAAATTCATCAGTCAGTATACTCTTTTTTT